GAGTGGCACTGACCCTACAGGTTGGGAAGAGGGCCAGCATGGCACACCCACACAGGGGCAGGCTGGGAGGGAAGAAGAGAGAGCGCCAGACTGGACCCCACGCTGGCACACCAGGCCCTGAGGAGGATGATATCCCCATGGGGAGCTAATGGGACACAGAAGGGACTGGGCAACTGACAATAGCCTGTGTCACGCTGTCCCTTACTGGAGCAGACTGAGACAAGGACATTTCTGGGGTCACATGGTGGGGCGGCAGTGTGGTCTGAACCCCCCAAAGCAGAGCGAACCAAGAGGGGAGCACACCAGATCAGCAGCTGGAGCAAGGAAGAGCTAGGAAGCCCTTGGGGAGCCCCCAAGGGGGCAGCTCTGGGACAGTCTTGAAGGCCAGTGAACAGACCCAGGAGTTTTGTCTATCCAGGAAGAAAAAGAATGTTTGGAAACTGATTGTGGTAGCAATTGTACAATTCTGCTGGACTGATTGAACTGTGGAATGGTATCATATATGTATTAACTTCCAATTAATAATAAATTAAAAAGAAGTAGAAATAAAATGTGTAGTTAGTCAAGTAAAAAAATCATATTGGTAATATGTACCCTTGATTGGGGATGAATATAGCACGGTGTCTCTTGAGATGTCCCTCCCTAAAATGCACAACTCTAGTCTGGTCATAAGCCAAAGATCCAATTCCAATAGAGGTGCTTTTACAAAATACTTGAGCCGTACTCTGTACCACTGTCAAAGTCGTCAGAAACCAGGGTAGTCTGAGAAACTCACACCCGAGAGAAATCTAAGGCAGTGGCCCTCAACCTTCCTAATGCCGTCACCCTTTCATATAGTTCCTCATGTTGTGGTGAACCCCCCGACCATAACATTATTTTTGTTGCTACTTCATCATTGTCATTTGGCTACTGTTATGAATCGGGCGACCCCTGTGAAAGGGTCATTCGACTCCCCAAAGGGGTCGTGACCCCGAAAATGGCTGCTCTAAGGTGACACGACCAGTAAATGGTACGTGGCATCCAGGCTAGGATGCGAGAACACAGACATTAGAAGGTAAAACCCTAAGGCGATCAGAATACACAACTGACGTTGCTCAATAATAATCACCATTGGTTTGCTTGTTCTCAAATGTTCCATAATCACGTGAACTACTTAACATTTGGGAAGATGGGTCGAGGGGGTTATGAGAACTCTCTGTATATATTTTCAATTCTTCTACCAATCAGAAATGTTGAGAAATGCAATGTCTTTTTAAAAATTTTCTTCAGGAATGTAAATACATAGAAGAAAAGTTTAAGGATACATTAAACGGATATTAGTTTCATGGTAACTTCTTACTGGATCTGTGTGAATCGCTTTTATGGAAGAAAGAGTCATATTAAAGTTTTTAGAGCTTAGAAAATGGCAAACATACAGATAAAAAAAAAACACCATGAAAATTAGGGGTTCTATCAACTGGACACGATAGGCTAAGGGTGAAGGTAGAGCCCAACCTATCGATAAGGTCACAGCCTGATGACCCCTCCTTGGGGGTGTGGCCCTTTGTTTAGGCCTCTCTCCTGCTGCAGCAGCTGGGACTTACATCTGGTTCCTGGATCTTCTATTGCGTCACCTGCTGACGCCAGGAGCTGTCAGTGGACTTCCGACGGTAAACTCATTTGACCAACTTCAGATTCATTCACCTCTGCAGCCTCCAGCCTGTGCCCACCATCGCCTCTGCTTTGTCATCCTACGTCCTGTTCATCAGCTTCCCCAAGTCAGAAGCCTGGCGTGAACTGGACGGGACTGAACCTTCTACAAGGTTGTAAGCCATTTCTCAACATAAATCTTTCTATAGACATCTCCCCCTGGGCCACCAAGTTACCATGCAGCCTGAGCTTTCCATCATGAACTGGAGTCATGTGACCTACAGAATCATGAGGTTGGACATGCACACCAGCACTCCATCATTTAATAGAAGTGGCATCTGCAAGACTGGGCTCGAACAAGACCTGAAGGTACAAGCAAGCTGCATGAAGAAGTGGCCCAATGCGTTTGATCTCCACTCCTGTCACAGGACCATCTTTCTCCCAGGCTGCACCTATGGCCTCACGGGGAGTTCCTTGTGATCAGTTGAGTGAGGAACCAAAAACCTGTGCTTGGTTTACCGATGGTTGTACATGATATGCAGGTTTCACTTGAAGGTAGACAGCAGCAGCACTACAGGCCCCTTTCTGGGACCTCCCTGAAGGACCATGGTGAAGGGAAATCCTCCCCATGGGCAGAACTTCGAGCCGTACACCTGGTTGTTCAGCATGCTTGGAAGCAGAAATGACCAAATGAATGACTAAACTGATTCATGGGTTATGGACAATGGCTTGGCGGATGCTCAGGGACCTGTATTATGATTGGAAAATCAGGTAAAAGGAGATATGGGACAGTGGTATGTGGATAGACCTCTCTCAATAGATCAAAAAAGTGAAGATATTTGCGTCGCATGTGAATGCTCATCAAAGGGTTACCTCCTCTGCAGAAGACATTAATGATCACCTGGACAGGATGACACCTTCTGTGGAAACCAGCCATCCTCATTCCCAAACCACCCCAACCTGGCCCAATGGATGCATGACCCAAGTGGCCATAGTGGCGGGCAGGGGTGGAGGTTATGCACCCCCGCTCTCCCTCCACCTTCTGGTGGGCAGCCATGGGAAGACTGGAGCTCTGGGAGTCTCTCTCTGCCTTATCTTCCTGCGAAGCGCCACACCCAGAGTTGGGGGAGCCACTTGGAGGCCCACACCAGCGCTGATGCTCTCACTGCCATTGAATACACAAGACTTTTCACCGACTGGCCTGTGACCTTCCTGCAGTCGGCATCATTGCATGTGCTGCATGAATCTGAAGGGGAATTTATGGACTAGTATTGGACATATAGGCAAATATCAAACTGATGAACTTGATCTGGATTGGGATGTTTTCCCAATGTGCAATTGCTCTTTGATAGACGCTCTCGTGTGTGTGTCTGTATGTCCCTGGATTTGTTTCTGTAATCAACCTGGGTTCATACGCATGGGGTGAGCAACGTAGACTACCATTCACCAAAGCTGACTTGGCTTCTGCCAGCAGCCAAGAATATCAGGTCTAAGACATGGGAGCACTCCTCGGGGAAGATCAGCCAGCAACCTGGTGACCGGTTGACTACATTGGACCTTCATTGAAAACGACAGTGTTTTATTCTTACTGGAATTGACACTCCGGATAGATTTACTTTCCCTGCATGCAATGCTTTTGCCAAGACCACAATCTGTGAGATTACCGAATCTCATCCACCTACACCAGCGGTTCTCAGCCTGTGGGTTGTGACCCCTTTGGGGGGTTGAACTACCCTTTCACAGGGGTCACCCAATCCATAACAGTAGCCAAATTAGTTATGAAGTAGCAACAAAAACAATGGTTGTGGGTCACAACATGAGGAAATGCATTAGGGTGGCGGCATGAGGAAGGTTGAGAACCACTGACCTACACGGATCACCTCAGATCCCACACAGCATCATCAGATCAAGGGACTGGCTGCACAGTAAATGAAGTGCAGCAATGGGCCCATGTTCACGGAATCCACTGGTCTCCACTGGTCTTACCTTGTTCCTCGTTGTCCTGAAACAGATACCGATAGAATGATGGAATTGACTTCTAAGGACAATGATGGTGCCAGTTTGGGGGTGCCTTGCACCGTTGGGGGCACTGTTCTCCAGGAGGCTGTAAATGCTCTGAACCAGCACAGAACAGATGGAATCCACTAGCCAGGGTTCACGGGGCCAGGAGCTGATTGGTGGGAACGGGAGTGGCAGCACTCAGTATGACTGGTAGTGCCCCACTCACCACGTGTTTGCTTCCTGCCCCTGCAGCCTCTGCTCTCTGGGTCTGGAGGTCTTAGTTCCGTGGGGAGGAATACTCGCACCAGGAGACACAGCACGGATCCCACTAAACTGGAAGTTCAGAAAGCCTCCTGGCCACTTGGGACTCCTCGTGCCTCTGGAGCAACAGGCAGAGAAAGGAGTTACTATGTAAGAGTGATGTGATTACCAAGGGGACTAATACTGCATAATGGTGGTAAAGAACGTGTGTAGCATCCAGATTTCTCAGGTCGTCTCTTAGCACTACTATCTCCTGAGATTCAAGTCAATGGTAAAGCACAGCACCCCAATTCTGACTGCCAACAGCCCAGGCTCTTTAGGAATAAAGGTTTGGGTCCCTCCACCAGGCAAAGAACCGTGGCCAGCTGAGGTACTTGCTGAGGTGATAGGAATACAGAATGGGTAGTGGATGAAGGTAGCTGTAAAAACCAGCCATGGCAGAAACAAGGACTGCCGTTGTTAGGAGTAATTCCTATTTGTAGATGTACACCAAATACTTATGTTTTGCATTTTAGGTTGTATACATTAGTGTACTGTGTTGGCCCAAGTATGATTTCATTATTGTCTTTGTATGATTATGTACAGTTAAAGATTTGTATACAAGGGTCAGGTTGACACAGGTGCCCAACTCTGACAGTCAGGGATTCCTCAGTAAGGTTGGAGTGTGGGCGGTGCCCAACTGATCCATCAGGTCAAACCCTGATGACACCTCCTTGGGGTGTGGCCTTTTGCATGAGACCATGTAGTCAAATCTGCTTTGGCCCTTCGCCTTCTGCTGGAGTTGGCTCTCCCGTCTACTTCCTCTATCTCCAGTTATGTCACCTGCAAATCCGAGGTAAGCCATCAATGGACTGCCAATGGTGGATTCGCTCAGCTGACTTCAGATTCATTTACCTCTGCACCCTGTGGCCCCTGCTTCATCATCCTGCTTCCTGTTCATCAACTTCCGAGTCAGGAGAACCAGTCTGACTTGAACCAGACAGGACTTACCTATTTCTATAACGGCATAAGCCCTGTCTCTACATACATCTCAATCCTTATACAAACACAGACAAGCATCATTGCCTTTGCTTCTCTAGCGAACCACATTGAACACAAACACCTCAGGCTGTGTATCAGCAGAAAAGTTTAATTCTTTTAATGACAATACGATTAAACCACCCCCCAGGCCATCACATCCAGACGTAAACCAAAGTAAGCCACTTATAGCATGAGATCGATATTAAGGTACAAGACATCCAATTGGGGGGGGTGGGGGTGATGCTTGGCCATCTGAAGCGTGCACCCGACAGTGCTTGAATCAGCAGTGGCATTGTGCTGCTGTGCGGGTGTGGCTGAGGGGAAGTGCGCTTCTACAGAACGGAAAAGGACAACAGCTGCTTGACAAGGACGGAAGCAATTTCGACTGCAGGGAGGGGTACGCATTTTCACGCCGACAGTGAGAGGGCATTAGGCTGCCTTGCAGAGGGCCACAGCCGAGAAGCGGACCTCCCCTTGCTCACGCTCAGTGAATTCTCTGCAGACCTTGGCAGCATCCTGGAGGGAGGAACATCATTAATATCTCAATAGCACCAATTCAAAGGCAGGCTTCAAAGGGAACATGGCTCTCAGGCCATTTGTGCATAAAACATCACCTGGGTCATGTCTAACTCTTCCAATAGCCTTGACCCAAAGGGGCAGGCCAAGTTCAGAAGTTCTGCCTCTGTTCTTCACTCTGACTCCCTGGTGCCAATCCCTCCACCCTCGCCTCTCCAGGCCTACCTGTCTCTCAATGTTCCTATTCCCATCTACCTCTGGTGAGCCCACGGACCCGCTGTGACTGCTGTCAGGTAGGGTAGGAGAACACTAGAGGAAGCGAGCCCTCCTTCCCCCCACAGGGCTTGAGGGAAGCAGCAGCCACCAGTGGGGACGACAGGGACACACTCAAGGAATTGCTTTTCAGCAGTTGAATCCTTTCGTAATTCTACCAAACGGAGACGACTTTCTCCCCATCCTGTACCTGGCTTGGCAAGGTAATGCTTCACGCTTAACTTCAAATCCCCGCCAGATGGAAGACTGTTTCCGGCCCGCCCGTGGGGGGGTCACGAGAACAGTTCTAACTCAGATATGTCCACGGTAGAGACCCAGTTCTACTAGGTCAACGTTTGACAAGTTGGCTTTAAAGTTTAAAACGGGTTCACCCTGATTCATTCCAGTTTGACAGTGCCTCTAGCCCAGATACACTAAATCAGAATCCACATTTTTAACAAGATCACCAGGGAGTTGGGATATGTTCAAATGGAGATTCCCATTCAGTGTACTTAAGAGGGAAAAGTCAATTTCTCAGCAGGAGGCTGACCCAGAACAAACTGGTTTGGAACCCTAGTTTAAAGTCAATACCTGCCCTTCAGGTACAGACAATGAGATTGATTGATGATGATGTTTGCCCAACTTTTTTTTTTTAAGAGGCTAGACTAAGTTAAAAGTCCAGCAATGTTTGACAGTGCTTTGTTTTTGTAAATCTTTATTACCTATCTTCTTGAATTAAGCTATCTTATGCTATCCATCTAGACCACTATCTAATAAGATTTAGATGTTTATGGCAGATTTAACATGTACTACTATTGCTAAGGTTATAAAGGTTGATAGCAGAAAATTGATCCCAATGTTAGTTATTAAACTCTAGGACTTAAATGTCTTGAGATTATATGTATCAATTGGGCTGGTCTACTAGCAAGAGAAGAATGTGGCATGAGGATTGGTGGAAGGCTAATTAACAACCTACGATGTAGTGGGACAACCTGGCTTGCTCTAGGGAGGACCTGAAGTACTTGCTGATGAAGACCAAGAATAGACGTCTTCAATATGGATGACGACTCAACTGAAGGAAAACTAAAATCCTCACAACTGGTGGTGAAGGATTTCGTCTGGCTGGGATCCACAATCATTGCTCATGGAAGCAGCAGTCAAGAGATCCAAAGACAAGCTGCACGGGGTAAGGCTGCTGCACAAGACCTCCTTCAAAGTGTTGAAAATAAAAGCAAGGGGGTTACTTTGAGCACTGAGCTGCGCTTGATCCAAGCCATGGCCATCTTCAGTGGCTTCACGTGCACGTGACCGGTGGAGACTGGAGAAGGAAGATGGAAGAGCTGATGCCTTTGAATGACGGCGCTGGCAAAGGCGAGAGACCGCCCCATGGGCTACCAGACAAGCACGTCTGTCTTGGAAGGAGGAGTCAGAACGCTCCGTAGAAGCAAGGGTGGCAAGTCCTTGTCTCATGTACTTTGGGCATGTTGTCAAGAGACAGTCCCTGGAGAAGGACATTATGCCTGGCAAAACTGAGGGGCAGCAAAAAAAAAAAAAGAAGGCCTTTGACAAGATAGAGAGAGTGGCTGTAACAATGGGCTCAGACAGAACAATTAGGGGAGAGTGTAGGAGCACGCTTCGTTCTGTTGGGTACAAGGTCGCTAAGGGTCAGAGCCAAGTCAAGGGCACCTAACGACGACAATTAGAGGAGACGAGAGAACAAAGCCTTTCCGCTTGAGTGGCACAGATTTGATCCACTAGCGGCCCTCTGGTTAATAGGCCCACGGTGTTCTGCAGAAACCTTGTCCTATGCAGTGACTAACAGCACAGACTAAGTTTGAGCCATTTGCTGTACTATGTACGTCATCAATTGTGGGCGCTCCGCCTAATGTCTCCTGCAACTCAGTTTCTTTGTGCTGCCTGATCATGAGAAGGGGCTCTACAATAGATACACGTCACTAGGAATGTTGTCTAATTCCAAACCAAAACCCACGTGTCCATTCTAATCAGAGACAGAAAAACGAGGGCCCCAATCTGCATATTGTGGGGCCTAGCTTTATTGGAACACAGCCATGCCCTTTCATTTATGCACTGTCTCCACTGCTTTGGAGTTACAATGGGCTGGGGAATGTTAACAGCAGTACGTGCAACTCAATGTCCCACAAAGCACAAAATAAAAACTATCTGGCTCTTCAAGAAAAAGTTGGCCCATTTCTGGTCTAGCACAAACCAAGGGCTGAAAGACTGGCTATTTCAATTACAAATGAAATAGGTATTATTTCTACAGCATTTCTGCATATTACCTCATTAAGGAATTTTCTATTAGAAGAGCAAAATGACGGGACTCATTTCTATCATAAAAAGGCCAAAATACTCATCCACCATACCAGCCTTAGTCTACAACTAAAAGGGGCACCATGCTCAATAAAATAGAGGGTCGGTGAGAAAGAAGGAAGGAAGACCCTGAACAAGATGGCAGTACTTGTGAGGATGGTCAAGGCGAGGCAGTGTTCATCCTGCATGCCTGGGGGTGCTCGGGAGGAGGGGTGGACTGCAGGACACTCCCACTGCCTTCCAGTACAGCGCTCATCACCACCCCATCAGAACTGGGTCCCAACACGTAAAATCAACTCCTTCTCGACTTGGCCAAAATGATTTATATAGACGTACCAAAAAAAGTTTAGATGGTCACTTGTACAGAAGTATGACACAGGGACCCTGGATGCTGGCTGTTTTATATCTGTTACCCACCCTCCCACCACCACCCTACCCGGCCCCCCACCACCACCACCACCCCCACCCCGTAGGGAAAACTACTGAAGGGAGCTGCCTAACCTGAAACCCTTGTGCACAATCTAAGAGACAGGGCCACATCCAGCAGTCAGAGTGGGGTGCCAGGCAGGCTCAGTGGGCTGTGGCTGAGTGTTCTGTGGCTGGGATGTAACCTGACAACGGGACAATGGCCTCCTGAATCCCACAAGGAAGTAAAGCACCAGCTTCTAGCTCGTTCTAACTGTGACTTGGAGGCAGCACGCAATACAGATTAGATTAGTCAAGATCCTGACCGGAAGGACCACTGGTTGGTGCTGCTCATCCCAGGAGCCAGTTTTTTACAGTAGACAATTTGGCTAAACTGCGGTCCCCGAGGAACAAGATGGATGGCAGAGATTACCTGCAGCAGGGAGTCCTCTGAACTGGAGCCGTGGTTCACGGGAAAAGGCATTCGTCCATCTGCAACAGAGAGACCAGCCGTCAGGGTTCCCTGCAAATTCAACGTTCTCAGCACACGGCCGGACGGTTTGCTTGCCAGTCTCAGGGGAAGTGTTAAGCTCTTACGAACATCAGTCATGTCCACCAAGGGATGACTGGTTAGAATGCTCAGTGCTCCTGGCTCTCCTTCCCAGACAGTCCTAGTCCACAGGAGAGGCAAACCAGCAACCCTGACACAGGCGGCTGAGCCCCACCCTCTAAGATAAGGGCGATAGAGGTCGTACGCTGTCCAGTCAGGACAGGGGCAGTCAGAGAAGGCACCCTGAGAGTTCACATGCCCCTCTCGGCAACTATGACCAACCCTGAGTCTCCGTGGCCCTGTCTGCCGAGACAGGGTCTGTAGTAGCTTCTCAATGACTTGAGACGAGGCAGCCGTGAGTCTTTCCCTAGTCACACAAAGGGGGCCGAAGCTTCCTGGATGCATCATCTTCCTAACTGCTAACACCCAAACTCCTTTACCCCGGGCAGGACCATCCATGGCCAAGCATCAAGAGTGTTCTGTGGCTGAGCAGGATGCTGCCAGAGACCAATGACTGGGTGGGCCAAGGGAAGGGAGCTGTAGCGAGAAAGCAGCAGGCACCCAACAGGTGCCAACCTTCTTCACTTGTGACTGCAGGCCTTCCGTCTGCAACCTCAGGGGCCTGTGGGGGCCGTTCTGGGCACAAGTGATGGATTCCGCCTGTAAGGGATCTTTGCAACCCATTAGGGAAGTCTGTCTGCAGGAAGCATTATTCCCTGGTAAAGAGTGAGCAACCTGACCACAGACACTGGGAAGGGAAGACGAGCTGCTTCTCCGGGGCTGAAGAATTTGTGCTAACGACGGTCAGATCATCAGATCGACGTTTGGGTGGTCCCAACAGCCATGGGACCGTCAGCAGTGTCACTGAGCTGCACCGGTGGAAATCACTGAAGCGGTGTTGAAACACAAATCCATGCCCACCCCCAGCATAAAATTAATGCCTGGCCGTATTGAAAGACATCATTAAGAATGACACTAGGAGCCAAAACTAGGATGAGATACCAGAAATCCGGCCGAACCTACCAAGTTCATAGAGGTGGCCCTCCACGTTGTTGAACAGGATGAAGTGGAAGTTCACTTTGTCATCTACCTAGAGAGAGAAGGAAATGGGTTTCTCGTTACCTCAGCGCGGTGTCAGTGGGGCTCATGAAAAATTGGCCGTCATCATTCAAGGGCAGGATGACTGAACCAACTAGCTTTCTCAGTTGAAACCATTAGGACTCGTTACTTGTGGATGTGCTACAGACCAGTGGCTGTGCGAGCTCACCATGCCGGGGGCCACCCTTGGAGACACAGCCACTGTTGCACGCTCTTCTGCTCTTTCGGGACGAGGGATCTAAAACTTGGGGAGGGTACGCATCTCACTAAGGTCAAGGCCAGAACATGGCCGACAGCTGCAGGTTTAAGGCTGCCGAATGAACAGGAGCCCTTGTGGCGCAAAGAGTTGGGAGCCCTGGGCTGCTAACTGAAAGGCGGGTGGCTCAGCCCCACCTAGAAGCTCTGCTTCTGGGAGAGGAGAGACCCAGAGCTGTTTCCTCCGATCCAGCTGAGCACACACCACAGGGCAGCTCAGGCCTGAGTTCCTGTGGGTTGGAATCCACTCAGTGGCACACAACAGCAGCAACTGAAATCTCATTTAACAAGGGACTTGTTAAATTAAAATCAAATCGATTAGCAATTGCCAGTCTTTGTCAGTACCCATGACTCTCCCTCCCAACACGGTGGGTAAGAAGTGTTCCAGTTGGTCACTGCAGAAAACCCACTGGGCCCTGGTGGCAGAGTGGTCGCACAATAGGCTGTGATCCACAAGGTCATCTGTTCGAAACCAGCTGCTGCTCTAGTTCCAGTCTCAGGAACAGAAACAGGTTTGCCCTGTGCTAGAACGTCCCTAGAGTCAGCACACCTCAAAAGCGGCGAGAGACGTGTATCATTTGCTAAGAAGCCATGGGGCACAGTGGGTTCCCTGCTGGGCTAGGACCTGAAAATCCATCAGTTTGGAAACTGCCAGCACAGCCTCAGGAAGAGGATGAGACCATCTACGCTCCTCAAGATTGAGCCTTGGAAACCCCCAGGGGCCATGCTACCCTGTCCTGTAGAGTGGCTGGGTGTGGGCATCCACCTGATGGCAGCGAGTTCGTTGTGTTTGGGTTTGGGGCATGTCAACTGACAGCTCCAGCTCTCAAGAGCCATTGAAAGGAACTGGTCCAAGCACCACGTGGATGGCATTTTCTAGCATCAAGAGGCCTTGGGTGATGGAGTACCCTTGGCTGGGTCCCCTGAAGAGGCCCATGCATGTCCTCCAGTACAAATGGAGGTGGCTGGGCTGTGACCAGTGTGCCCACTTACCCGGCACTGACCTTCCTGTGCCACGGCATCGTGGGCCGCCTGGATGGCCTGCAAAAGAAGAGAACATAGGCAGCACAAAACTGGGCAGGGCGGGGTGGGGGTGGGGGTGGGGGTAGGAGGGTGGGGTGTCCAACAGGGCTCTGCCATGCCCCATGCCTACCTCGTTCTTTTCAAAGCACTTTGCTCTGTCTTCCGGGGACATTTTCTCTGTCTCAGAAAGAAACTGCTTCAGAACAGACCCATTCTCTTAAAAAAAAAAATTTATATTAACAGGGTACCTATTGGTACAGCTACCATCAGGCAAACAGGGTCACGTCTATCGTTGACTTGGGCAAAGTGCGCAACGGCTCATGCCGACCCGTCTCAATCCGTAATACAGCCTCCCAGGAAGTGGGCACACGTCCCCTCCCTCCCTGACTAGCTGCCGTCCACTCAGCCCCAGGGGCCCTTCCAGCCCTCCAGTACCAAGCTCTCCCGTGCCTCTGTCCCCTGCCACCCTCAACTTTATCTGCCTGGCCGCTTCCCACTGGTCCCCCAAGTCCAGCTCATCACTGCCTCCCAGCCTGAAGCCGTTTGTAACCCCTCCCTCGGGTACACTGTCTACGGCTCTGCGTACAGCACCGGCACAAAGGTTGCACACACGAAGGCCTGCTGTACTCGTGACTCCAGGATCCCTCCTCCCGAACAGCGCTCCGCTCAGGACAGTTTTGTTTCAGAGGAGCAAGGTCAACCCGTCACACAATTATCCACAGACACGAGGCGACAGATGTCCAATCACAATGTCAACAGGCAAATAGCCCAGTCTAGAAACAACCAACGGCTGGCAACCAACGGGTTTTTGTGTGCCGTGTAAATACACCTGTGCTGACGCACAGGGACCCTGTAGCGCCGTGAAGACCTGCCCCTGTGGGTCTCGGACTGTACACGTTTAGAGGAGCAGGAAGCCTCATCTTTCTCCCCTGGAGCAGCTCGCGGGTTTGACCAGCTGACCAATGCATAGCACAGTCAGGCTCTTCTACACAGCTACATCACGAAGACTTTCTATCTTAAAAGACCTTAATGCGAACTTCCAGCTCTAAAGATTTTTCTTTTAAATAAGCCGCTAGGGGACAATCACCCAAAATGTCCACTTCATGTGAGGACGATGCTATGCCTCAGATTGTCACCGATGCCAGCACTGCCATGGTGACGGAAAGGGTACTGCACTCCCTGGGGTCACACCAAGGTGGCAGTACTCCAAGCCAAGCCGGAAGCCTTAGTCGCGGAGAACTGGAGAGAGAACAAGCCGGCATTTTGAACCGGCTGCGCTGGTGATCCGGACCGTCTGCCGGACCAGCCACTTGATTGCAAGAGTAGAACCGGGGCCACACCGACCTTGTCAAAAGACAAACAGATGCACGGAGCGAGTATGGGAGTTACTCAGTTCTCACCACTGCCGCTCACGGTCTGAGCCCAGAAGATGGCCAAATACGGTGCCGTTTTGGAACATAAAGTTTGACTGGGACACAGCCCCGCCCATTTGTTTAAATCCTGCCTGTGGCTTCCTTTGCTATAACAGAGACCGTGTGGGAATCCGGCACAGAGCATTTACTCTCTAGCCTTCTGTGTGAGTCTGCCGAGCTCTAGGCTTCAATGACACCCAACGGCCACGTCGTTGGAACGCATCAGTGCTGAACCGCCCCCAGGCCTAGGCCATCCAGGGCTGAAGTCCTTCACCTGGTTTGGCTCACAGCTGGCTCTTCTAGGGTTTCCACCTGCTCCCGTAGCGAGCTGCAAGCACCACCACAGCCCGTGTCCAACTGCCTAGAGCTGTGCCAGTTCCCCTCTTGCTTATGTAGTGTCTGACTCGCAGCGGCCCTACACGGCAGACCAGACCTGTCCCTGTGGGTTTCTGAGGCGGTAACTCTTTCCGGGAGCAGGCGCGCTGGATTGGTGGGTTTGGGCTGCTGGCATGGTGGTGATTAGCAGCCCAAGCCATGCCTAGCCCACCAGGGCTCTTGTGGCTGAGATAAAGACCCACAGATATCTTACGGCTCACTGTCACCTCTAACGCTTCATGCAAGGGCCCTGGTGCCGCAGGACTTGTGCGCTGGGCTGCTAACCGCAAGCTCAGCAACTCAAACCTAACAGCTCTTCCAAGGGAGAAGATGAAGCTTTCTACCCCTGTAGAGTGGCAGTCTCAGAACCCCCGCCCCACAGCATCACGATGGGTCGGCAGTGACTCAGTGGCAGTCAGTGAGGGAATGCTTCATGTTTAAGAGTTAAATGGGGAAAACGGAAGATTCACAATAACTGGCCCTGGTGTCCTTGCTGTCCACCCCTCTATACTGCCTGCACACTGGAGGAGCCTATCCCGGGGGCAGTACAAAATCTCACTCACTCACTCACTCACTCGTCCACACCAGGCAGACAATGCCAAACCAAGCTTCTGGGCAATGTCTCCGTCCCGAAAAAGAAAGAGCAGTAAAATTTCACCCACTGGTTTGTGTGTCCAGAAACTAGTCTAGTTTGAGGCTGTTGGGAAGGATGGAGTCGATTCTGGATCACAGCACCCCCATGTGGCAGCCCTGAACTGCAGATCGCCACACCTTTCTCCCGCAGAGCCCCCAGGCTGCACTTAACCAGCGTGCTACCAGGAGGGTTCCTTATAGAAGCCACAGCCACGGCTCAGTAGGTTGTTAGGCAGTGGCTTTACTTAGAACCTGGGGGGTTTGGGGAGGAAGGGCTGAGGGACCTCAACTGAAGGCAACTCGGAGGCTCACCGAAGGCCAGCTTGTCCTGATTATTGGCCACTGCGTGGATGAGTCCGATGGTGCCACACGAGTTTCCGATGGTCTGCTTCATGAAGTACACTTTGGGACTAACTTCCTGTCCCTTCAGCTCTTCGATCTGCTTTTTCCTGAAATTCTCATGCTGTGAACAGAAGAAACGGGTTTTCTGTTTCGGCGTCCAAGTGAAAAGGCAGAGAGACCTGGCAGATGGCAGCAGAGAGTTCTACCACCATACACGGAAATCCAAGTAGGATGTGTGCCTTGGTTCTAGAGCCGCCAGCCCCGGTGGCCTCCTGGCGCTAGCCCTGGGGGTTCGGCGCTTCAGACTCCACCCAGGTGCTGCAGTGCAGTCCCAAGCTTGGACGTGACCCAAGGTTTGTCTAGACACCACTGCAACCTTTCAGCTGGAGACGGACCATGAGTCAGATTCGTCTCACTTAGTCCTCCCTCCTTTGTGCCCGAGAAGCATGCCAACGGGTTCATCCTCACCGTTCTTCAAAGCTCTACTGACTGTCCAAGCACCTCACTGTCAAGTCCATTCGGACGCAGAGAGACCCTGCGTGTGGTTCTTAAATACATAAAACAAGGTCTACTTCACTGTTCTAAGGAGCAACTCAAAGAACCTGATCTCTTGGGGGAAAGTAAGGAAAGAGTAGCTCATCTAGAGCACCTTCTCATCCTCCAAAACAGAGATGAGACGCTCGCCCGGCCTTCCCAGCTTGAGGGCAGATCAGCCATGGGGGTGTGGAAGAGACTGGTAAGTCGATGGGAGTCGGTTTCTTCTGCAGGGGAACATGGTCTTAGCTGCATCGTTCACTAACCAGTTTTAGAGGCCTGGCTGGGATAACTTCTCAGGTAAAACGAAACCAAAACAGACCTCCCTGCCCTCGAGTCAATTCTGACTCGCGGTGACGCTAGGACAGGGTAGAAGTGCCCGTGAGTTTGAGACGGTAACTCCTTACGGCAGTAAGAAGCCCGGCTTTCTCCCTCGGAGCTGGCAGGTGGTTTCAATTGCTCACCTTGCAGTTAGCAGCCCAGGGTATAACCACAACACCACGAGGCTCCTTGTCAGGTTAAAAGCCAGGTGCTAGTGGGATAAACCCTGCCCCAAACCCACTGCCTTGGAAGCAATTGACTCAAAGCAACACCAAATAGGGTTTCCAAGGCTGTCAATCTTCCCAGCAACAGATAGCCTCATCATGCTCCCTCGGAGCAGTGGGTGGGTTTGAACTGCAGGCCATGAGGCTAGCTGCCAGACACTTAGACCACCTCAAGTCCAGAGCTCACCAACCTCCCATACCTGGCAAGATTCCGACAGGGCAACGTCAGACTTCCAGTGTTAAACACCGCGCATGACTGCGCATGGCAGTGAAGCTTAGGCCTGTGCTTCTGTGGCACTAGCAGAGGCACACGGGCTCTGCACAGCCTCACCATCAACTCACTGCAGCTGCAGAGTAGGAAGCCTGAGCCTCACACCCGCCAGATCCCTGAATTGGCATCCAATGACGGATCAGAATTTTCCCTTTTCCGGGGAAAATTAGGGGCTGCTGGTGGTGACAGCTTCATCCTTGATGGTTTTTTGAGCTTTGACATGAATATTTCACCGTGACTTACAATTTATGTTTTAAAAGGGGCCCATTTAGGATTCCACAATGTCCCCAAAGCCAACATCAGATGCCTTCTAAATCATTCTTGGCTTTGGGGGAAATCCATCTACATGGCAGCTTCAAAAGGTGCGTGGAAAATGAAAATCAAAGGTAATGACATCTTTCCACCGCACTTTGTGAATCCCCCTCCCCTCACCTCCACCTCCACCTCCACCCTCCACCTTTTTGTCAACTGGCTTCAGTCTGTTTTTAATTTAGCAGAACAGGTGCTCGATAAACTTGATGGGGTGAACTCGAGCTCTCTGGAACAGAGGTCAGAGATTTCTCTAACAAGAGCCGCCTGAGCCAGCTCTGGAAGGCAGAAGGCGCTACACGACTGCCCCCCAGAGGCTGTGCCTCTCAGCGCCACGCAAAACCTGCCAGTCATCATGGTTCCGGGTAAGAAAGCTGTGCTGAGACAGGCGGCAGCGCCCATGAGGCTGGAACCTGCACTAGATGACCTGGCAAGCTAATATCTGCGACTGGCAATCATTTAGCAGCTTTTGCTTTTTCTTTCTTTTTTTTTTTTTTTGCGTAAGGAAAGGTTTCAACCATAAATTTTTTTTTAAAAATCATGTCCATCGGATTATTCAAATAGCCTTCAGGGGTATTTTGAATCCACTTTCCCGCATTTATAAGGAGGTCTGGCACTTCCCACAGGGCCCAATTAATGCTGAGGCTGCATCTAGAACGCCCAGCCTTTTTAATGGTGCTTCGTACAGCTCATTCTAGGTCTGAAGCGATGCAAGTTTTTGCTAACACATTACGAGGCAGGCAATGGCATGCAAATTATAATTAGCTGGGGCCCCCTGCTATCACCACACAGCATCCTAGCTTCCTCTTTATACTTGGCGTTCAGGTTTTGAGGATCCTAACCCACGTACACTTGAGGGAAGTGGACCATCTCAAGAGAAATGAACAGATTTACTTGAGCCCACGCTAATGGCTACCTATTTCATCCCGGCTACAAGGTCAAAGAAGAAAGGGAGTAACAGGGTGGAAGGGCCTACCCAGAAGCCAGACCACCAACATGACTGCTTAAAAGAGTAGCAGTCGGGAGCCTAAAACGACATAGCGGGGGAGATAAAGGAGGCTCAGTAGAGGAAGTGGGGCGGTGGTGGGATGCGGGATGAAATCCCCCCAATCCTCCGGCACACAGCCCTAGCAGGCAGTGAAAGTGCTCAATTCGAGAAACTATGGTTGCTAGGGACTCCGGTAAATGCACACCCCTCCATTTGATGGCCAGGTGGGAGTCTGAGAATCAAACAAACCAGGAGCCCACAGGTAGGTCACCGCCCAGACGGAGAAGCAGGCAGCCCGCCATTCATGGGCGTGGGAGACTAAGTGTTCCAGGCTAAAGATCAAGGTCGAAGGGAGCTCATGAGCGGGACAAGCTCCTTCCCGCGATAACTGAGAAGATCTTCCACATTAAAGGCAGCTCGGGCAGGATGCCTAAGGATGACAGCGGTGCGCTAAGACAATCGGCGTCCCAGTGAGGAGGTACCACCAGACAGGCGCCTCCTTTCCCGGGAAGCGCGACCTCTACCCTCTGGGGAGGGGAGCCAAGTCTACACCGTCCTCCTGGCCTCGCACCGGGTCGGGAACCTGGCCGCCCCGCACCTGGGGTCCGCCCCCCATCCGCGCCCTACCTGAGCCGTGAGAGGGAAGAGCAGCAGCAGCGCGCAGGCGGGCGCGGGCACAGAGCCCAGCCCC